AATATCATTATTAATAAGGTTAGTCAGTTGTTGTTGGCAATTAATTGAGGGCGCAAATGTTAAACAGAAGTTATAATTGCGTTTTATTTTAGCTTTGGCTTTTAGTTGATCCTATTTATGATTGAACTGTAACAGATGTTAGAATTTTCTCACGATTTTCGTTTGAGTAATGAAGTGGGAAAATGATCAAAATTTTATGTTTTCGTTTGAGAAGTCGATAAAGAATGAGTAAAAAAAAATGCTGTAACAGTAAAATTTGCAAAAATTGATAATGGCAAAATTGGAAAGAGATATTTTATATTGAAATATTGGGCATAATCTATATCTACACATACATATATATATATATATTACAAAAAAAAAATAGCCGTTTTATTTGTTAGCACTTGGCTCAAAAACTAATTAATGGATTTCATCCAAATTTGGACAGAATATTCGTTGTATTTGGAGCTGAAGTCGAGGTGTTTAATCCAATTTTCACCTAAGCTCAACGCTATTTCCAAAGATCCTCAGAGCCATCAGCGAATTTCAATAAAGCGTAAAACCTTTCAAATTAAACTCAAAAGCAAAACATTTGTAACACGCTCATTTGAGTAGCATATTCAACGCCCCCAAAAAAGCCAGCTTCTAATTGGGAGTTCAGTTTCCCATAAATGCATTCTTTCCCAACAAAGCCCACAATAAAAGTTCCCATAGGCAGCAAATTTTGCGTCCGCTTGCCTTATTTCTGAACTGTATGTACATATTTTTCATTCAATCAAACGGCAGCTAAAAATAAAACCGCAACAGCAACAGCAACAACAACGAAATCCACAACTCAATGCAAAGATTAACTAGCTGCCACATTTATATGTTTACACATGTACCCATGTACATACATATAAGTATACATATTTCCATACATATGATTGGAGAAGTGGTGAATGCGCTCGACGGCGGCGACGCATGGACGCGTATGCCAGGCGGCAGCCGAAAAGACAAAGGTAGCCAAAATATTCACGTACGAAACGTGCACGCCAAGTTTCACATGGCCCACAATTTGTGCTTGGTCTGCTACCGGTAGGCCAACAGGCCGGCTGGTCGGTCGTCTGGCTGCGTCTGCGTCTGCGTTTTGAGGTTAAGGTTGCCGATCAGAAGAAGTAAAAATAAAAATAAGTGCAATAAAAAAGCGGCTTTGCGCTGCAGCGTCTTATTGATTTCTTTCGCATCGCACATTTGCTGCTGCCTTCTCACACTTTTTGTAAGGGGAGTGCACTATGAAAGAAATAGAACGAAAAAAGGGCAACTGTTTAATGAGATCTTCGAGGCTGTGCCAGCGTTTGTGTTTGTGTGTGTGCGTGCTTATGAGTGGCATTATGCGTGATGAATTTTATGCATGCCTTTGAATCCTTCGCGTATTTTAATGTGTAAATCGTGCGTTGAATGTTTGCAAATGAGAAACGAAATATTATGTTCCAATAATTGTAGGATACGGCAGTGGATGAATATGAATATCAACGCCACCTGTGGGCATACAGCTCGAAAGCTTGAAAATTTATCGTTTATACTAGATTCCCAGCTGGAAAGCTAGGATATAACACAGTACCCCCCGCCAGGCATGGCGTTCAAAAAACCACGATTTTCTCTCTTAAATGATGCAGGCTAGAAATGTTTATTTTTTATTAGTTATTGATTAAAGCAAAGCTTCGTGAAGGCTGTCAACGAAACCTTGACATCGAGAAGCCATGAATGTCCAGTAAATACTTTAAGACGCGACCCATATTTATGCATTTTACCAACTACCTAAACATCTTCAACCACCGAGTCTGGCGCTACTTTTTGTACCTCCTTTGCCTTAGGATGGCTGAAAGTGTAAGCAATTCTGACATATGTACACCGCAACCAGTTTAGCCACTTACCAGACTGTGTGAAACGTACCAGCTAGTGGTTGAGATCGGATTCCGGTCTATAATTTTATCCAGAATTTCCTCGTTGCTGAGCTTTTTCGCTGTTCGTTTTCGTCTCAATAAATCATAAAAAGGGGCTTATTTATGAATTTGCGGAGGTTTCGGCTTTTATCGGGAGTGTCGGGAATGGATTGGTCTCGTCCCGCCACGAGATTTGTAAAGACCTTTCCGATACCAACCATACCGGCAATTTTGAAATCAGTAACGCGGGTTCAGCGGGTCTCGGTATCCCGCGCCCATCTCTAGTTCAGACCACACTTGGTCTTATTGCTTTGGAAATTCATCTATAGACGCGTCGTTGTCTCAAAATATGCGCAGAGGTCAAAAAGCCATCTAACTCGAGAAACGCATCCTTTGGACTCCAGTTCAATGCAGATCCAAGAATTTTTAAAACTAGGATCAACTGGAATAGAAACCTAATCCTATGCTACTTACCATCCGGTTGGTGGTAGTTGTGTGCGGCTTTCGCCGACTCCATATGCGGCGGGCCAGATTCAAATGTTTCCTGGAGAAAAATAGAACTAACGTTATTCTCACAGGTAAACGGGAAAAGATAAAAGTCTACCGCCGTTATCATGAGCCCACAGTATATAAAATTGATACTGAAGGTCAACCAAACAGAGCGGAGCTCGCATACCAGCGGCCAGGCAGCTTGGTCATAAATCCATCTACCTCGGAGTGTCGTAGATTTGTGGAAAGGAAGTAACAGCACTGTCCGAGCAGTGGTAGGGAGAGGCCACGAAAAGTGTACTGCCCCTCCACATTTTTTGTTTGCGCCGCGCACGGCCGGATATATAGCGAAAATATTTGTTGACAAACATTTTCGGAAAATTTTTATATTCCATAGTTTAAAAAAAAATATAACTTCAGTCACACTCATATGAATTCATCTATTCCTTGTCTAGTTCAACTGTACTTCCTATTAAAAAAAATATTAAGCCAACATTTGGCACGCTGCAGATCCTAAATCTATACTCATACATAAATACATAAACAATACTACTTAAATTGATAGCTGAACTCGATTGCTTCCGAATTTCCTCTTCAGGCGAAACAAAGTAATTGCTGATATTCTGCATTTACCGGCGTTTGACTCGTGCAAAAATTTCAGGATTCCAAAATACTTGTCAGCAAGCATTCCCTACCTATGCGCCTCTGCCTTGCAGCCGCCTCATGCATTTCACACTTTCCCACGCCTAATTTTAATTATTACTGCGACAGCTGTTCCTCGTCTGCAACCCACTGTCGTCAACCCTGCTAGCCTCCTTGGCTACGTCCCATCCTCGGTGATGACTTTACCTTTTGCGATGCTTCTTTTGTTTTCATTTATGAATATGTCGAAATCTTAGGCTTGAATGCGCCTTGCTTCAAAACACAACCCCCATTTTCATGTAGCCGCCAAGCAACCAACCAACCGAGCAATCGACCGATCGTCTGGGTGATCAACCAGTCAGCCGACCCTCCTCCTTTGGTTGACGATGCTGTGCCGATGCCGAGTTGCGATATGGAAGTCTTAAGGTGCAGCTGTCGATATTCAAACACATCTTATGCATATACATATATACATACGTATATACTTCTGCTAAGTTTTGTGAGCAAAAGAAAGTTTTCTTACCTACCCGATACCCCAATAAAAAAAAACAAACTTCTAGTGTGTGAGTGTCGCATAGTTTCTGCAGCTATGAAACGGATAATTCCAAACAACTGTGTAAAAATAAAAATTGTAGACCCTTTATATTAATTATGCAGTTATTTACTTGATAACCTTAAGACCTCAGGCTTAAAAAAAAGTTTTACGAATCTCTTAAGTTTTTAAAATAGTTGCAGAGTTACCGTTATTTATAGTATTCCAAAGTAAAAATGTTTCCCAAGAACTCAATATTCAGCATTTCTTCTTAAACGCGGTGGCATATCCCATTTACGCGATGCTAAATACGCGCGCATGCACATTAGGGTGTACCATCTTTCTTTTTTTTAAATTCGATATGCATGAACTAGCTCTTCCCTATTTTTCGGGACTGGATCAAGTTCTCATAAGATCCGTACCGAGAATTGGCCAGTTTAGGGCCCTTCATAAAGTCCAGTCGCGAGTGGAGTGCTTCGGAAACCACAGCGCCAGCTAGAGCATGCTCCATTAAAGCCAGCCACTAACACCGATATACCGGTCACCAAGGAGAGAGTTAGGAGGACTTTGTGAGGTTCAAGGCGATATTCTCCGGCGAAGTCAGTTCTAGATTTCATCACTTAATCGACCAGTGGAGGAAACCTCAGAAACGGTAACAAAAAAAAGAACGAAAAAACTCTGTACTCGTAACCGGACTCGATCCTGTGGTGTATTGGCAAAACCAAGGAAGATCATATGAATCACAGGTGGCAGAAATAAAGTAGGCAAGAACCTTAATTACCAATGGAAGCCAGTCCATTTTGTTATGTTATGTTATTGGGCATCCTAATGCACATACGCACACATTAGTATGTAAATTTGTTTATGTATATTGCTAACCGCTAAATAGTTTGTATATTAGCTATGACGTTTTTCCAACAAAATAAATCACTTTATTATTTAAGCGGAGGAGTCTACTTAAAACATGTGTATGTATGTACGTATGTATGTTTGTATATAAATGAAAAACCAAAAAAAGAATACATATTTAAATCACTCTGGTCGAGTTGAGTTGAGTGATTTCGCTTTCGTTGCTCTGTATCAATTTATGGACTCATATCCGTCATTTAAATGGAAAGCAAATGGCTATGGATGTAAGTATGTATGTATGCTTGTGTGTATGTCAACCCGCTGATATGGTGATAAAAATTATGACAATGAGGGTAATATTTAATGCAAGCGTTCACACGAGCACGAACGCGAACACGCACACGTACACCCACATCCACTCGATTACCGGAAAGTGGCAATACCCAGGAATTTCGCCCCCTTTACACAGCAAGCGGGGTAATGACGTGACCGCCGCCGCCACCGACGTCGCAGCTTCGATACATTTCACCACATAGTTCACACACTCGACTTTAGTCACAGCCACAGTGGCAGTCAACGCGGTTCCGCAGATGTGGCTACCACAGCGCCAACACTAACTGGCGCACATACTCGTCTACAGATATGTACGTATGTATGTATGTCTGCGAGCGTCTCCAAAACCAAGAACTTACCTGTGCGCACTTTGACTATCTGTCTTGTTGGCTGACAAAGCGGCCGTCTGTCGGACCTAGTGTCTCACGGTTCACACCAGAGCCACCACCACCACAACAACCACCGTCTACGTGTAGCGCTTGTACTGCCGCAGAGCAGAGGAGCTCAAACTCAGGTAATAAATAAGCAAGCGCAGCCGGTTTTTTGGTGAGCGTGAGAAAAAACGTAAAGGAGCTGGCTTGGCGGTTCGTGTGCGAGTCGTGTGTGCACGTCGCTGTCTGGCTTGCTGACTTCGTGCGCCAAGAAAGTCGTCGTCTTCGTAGCCATCCTCGTGTGTTGGCAGCATATTCGTAAGCACCGTACTGCTCGTCCGCCAACGAGCGCAAGGATCATGCTGAGTGCGCGCTGTCCTGACGATCAGTATCCTGTTGTAGTTGAACGCGCGTGGTCGTGTGTTGTGCGCGCCGCATAAAAAAAAAAACTGCTAAAGCATGCAAGTTATGATTACTTCGAAATGAAATATAGCATAAAATTACCAAATTATTTAGTACACTGTTCGTGAAGAGGTGTTGCATTAGTATGTGGATGCACAACTGATTGAAAAATGCAAGGCAATGCAAATTTTGTGCAATAAAAAACTGAAACAAATAGCGCGGCGCTTAAGTCGCTTGTGTAGACGGAAGACCAAAGTTTCTAATTTAAGTGTTGTGTTTGAAAAAAATATTGTTATTGTTTTCCACACGCCGTGTATGTGTATGAGTGAATGTGCTAAGAGGTTCTATTAAAAAAAAAAATTTATTGCTGCTGAAACGTATTTGGACAACGAAACCGTTAAATTAACTTGAAACTTGTAATATTGATGCTTCAATAATGGATTACAAAAACGATTTTCACTCGGATGATGATTTCGATTGTTCCAACGGCTATAACGACTGCTATAACGGTACAAATGGCAGCGGACAGGCACAAATGTCAAATTCGCATGGCCTCTCGAAGGCCGAACTGAGAAAGGTTTGTAAGGTTTTTGGAAGTTTAAAAAACGTTTTTTTCGAAATTCATTGAAAAATTTAACCGTATAATTAGTAAAATAGAATTGTTTTATAAATGATTATGTTTCTTTGCGATGAAAAACATTAGTACAAGTACTAAAAGTGGTTACAAACTTGTTTGAGACTTTTTTCGAAACAAGTGTAGCTCTCCTTTTTTGCTTATTTTTTCTTGTGAAATGTCCATGCATTTTTTTCTTGACAGAATTTCAAACACTGAATAATTTAACATAAGGTTAAAGCTAATACATAGTTATTTAGGGTAGGTTTTAAGTTTCTCAACCAGCTGCGATATAAAAAAACTCGTTTTTTTATAAAAAAAAAAATCTTGAAAAATCTGCTTTCAAAAGAGTTAAGCCGAAATTACCGACACCATCGGGAATTAATTTTGTGTTCTATAAAATTGAAAAGCTCTTGTAGAGAATGCTCAAAAATTTAAAAAATATTTACTTAACTGTCAACATTTCTGCAAAAAAATCCGTCAGTCTCGAATTTTCCAGCTTTTCGAGTTTAAGAAATTATCTAAAAATATTGAATACATATTTCATTCAAACTGAGTTGAACAAATTTAAATTCGTTTAAAAAATATTTAAAATTTATAAAAACTCAGTAAGAAATAATTAGAAACTAAAACTATTTCGAATTTTTTTCTAAACATATTTCCCATTTTCGAAAGTCAGTTGGAATAATTACGAGGGCAGTTTGACACATTTTTTTCTAAAAAGTGTACACTTTTTAACATGCATATGTATATGGTCTGCTCTTAGCTCGATAAATTTACAGGGCAACTGTATTTCACCATAGTCTTTCAGTAAGGCAATTATCCATTCTGGCAACTATCTGGAAAGCTCTTTTCTACTAATTGAAAGATCTGCTAACGAGAAGAGAACTTAGAGTTTTTCTGTTCGTCTCTTAGAAATTAGTTTTCTAAAACGTAAATGAACTAAAAAATATATGATTTTCCTTTTAAAACAACAAAAAAGAACAGTTTAAGAAAATTTAGTTAAACAAATTTAATATAAAAAAAGAGAAAAGTGGGTTCCTAAAATTTAAATTAAACGAAAAAAAATATTTTAAAAGAGGGTTCTTAAAAAAGAAAAAAATACTAAAAGAAGAATATTAATATTTTTTCTTTTATAATTTAATTTTCTTTTAGTTTTTACATTTAATTTTATAGTTTTATTTCAGTTTTATAAACTTATTTCCTATTTTTCTTTAATATAAGTTTCTAAAAACAAAACGGAAACAAAAATATTTATTTTTTTTAAGCAATAAAATCTAAAAATTTATTTAAATAGAGACAAAATTTATGTTTCTTTCTTTCAAAACAGTAAACTCTAGATATCAAAACAAAATTAAATTAAAAGGAAAAATAAATTAAAAAAGAAAAATTAAATAACTTGCTAAAAATTAAATGAAATTAAAAAAATTATGTTTCCTTTCAAAATATTTTTATTTCATTTCATTTATTAAGAGAAATATTCAAATCTAAAATTTTAAAGAAAATTAAATAAAATAAAATAAGTTTCAAAAAATTTAAATCTTTCTTTTTGAAATAATAAATCTAAAATTTAAAAGTAAATTAAACTAAAAAAGGAATCTCTCGAGTGGCGCTCCAGTGGTTTGCTCTCTCGGTCATTGCGGCTGTTGGAGCAACGCGAGCAAAATGATATGCACACAAGCGCTTTTTGTCAAAGAGCTTTTCACCGTGAAAATTGGAAATGGAGCTTTTATTTGTAAGAACTTCGTGCCAGAACAAACAAAGGCTTTCAAACTATCTTGTTTACTGACTTTCAATTGTCTCACAAAACATTTTCAACTATTTCAGCCAGAATCGCTCTGTTAGGGCCAATTTCACAATGCGCAGTTAACTCAGAATCGGGAGTTAACTACAGAATTTTGTACTGAAAATCTCTAGTTAACTGTCGATTCTGAGTTAACTACGCACTGTGAAATTGGCCCTTAGTCTAGTTATTTCCAATTATTTAACTTTCCGTTACTAACATGAATTTTATAACATGGTTACTAGCATCGATCCCTCAGACCGAAGTGCAGAGAATGTTAATTTCTTTACATTAAATATATGTGTAGTAAAATAAACATAACAAAACCAAATAGCAGAATTTCATTAAACAATACATTCTAAAAAAAACACGTTCGATAGTAAAGTAATTAATTTTTGAATAATTTAATAAATTAAATTTTCAATTTAAATTTTTTGTATTGATATGTTTCATTCTCGGCTTGAAATAGATAACTTTGCTCCAAACACAGGAACCTGCCACACTCAAAACATATACTAACATCGGTCTCACAGACCGAATCACTGACAAAAGGGATAAAACTCAAGATAGCAGCGACCAATCTACACTGGCATCAACAAGATCACTGATCAACCGAGAGGTATACAAAGAAAACAAGTTCAAAAAGCTCAACTCTGTTGTACAGAAAGCTTTAAGAATGTGTTCGGTCTGTGAGACAGCATGTTAGTAACGGAAGGTCGATCGCATCCAATTATTAGGTTTCATCAAGGCCCTAAGTAGACATAGAGATCAGGAGAGTATACCTTGGATGTGAGATTATAAACGAAATTAACTTTTTCCATTTTCGGTAGTCTGCTTTCAACGACTGTCTCAAGACAAACTAGGTGCCAGCTTGTTTGTTGCGTTTGAAATTAGTACGATGGGAAATCAAATAGACACTTACTTAAAAAAACTGATTTTGATAATCTCTAAAAAAATCAACGGAAACATCGAACTCAATAAAAAAAAAAAGAAATAAATAATTTTGAATTGCCAAGCCTACATAGTTTATAAATTTTACCTTTTACACTGTTTTTTGAAGAAATTATATTTATTGCTCTACACCACATCAATCTTTAATCTCAATGAATAGACATGCTTCTCACTTTTCAATCAAAATTTTTTTGCAGACTAATAAACCAATTATGGAGAAGCGACGGCGTGCGCGTATAAATCACTGCCTCAACGAGCTCAAATCACTCATATTGGAAGCAATGAAGAAGGACGTAAGTAAAATGTGATACAAAAAAATGTTGTACGTATAGTCCCAACGCAGAGTTAATCTTAAGCTCCAGCTTTATCTTTATTGTTATCTTGCTTTTAATGCATTTTTTCTATTTATCTTTATGTTCAGTTTAGTCCTTATCTTTATCTTTATCTATATCTTTACCTTTATCTTCATTTCACCTTCATCCTTATCATCTTCACCTTCTCCTTATTCTCAATCAAAATTTTTGTCTGTAATTTTATATTTATCTTTGGCTTGGTCTATATCTCTGCCGTTATTATTATTTTTGTATGTAGTTGTCTATATGTATCCTTGCTTTTGCCTTTGTCTCTCCCCGAACACAGTTTCTCTGTAGGCCTTCGCCATATACAACCTGCAACCGCAAACCTCTCCGAACCTATCATCTTACATGAAATCGCTTTTGATTTTTTAATTCGACGGGGACTACAATGTCAAAAGAGTTATTTTTTTTTTTAATGTGCGTCTTGATGTTATTATGTATACAAATGGAAAGACCTACAGTTCTACGTCCATATTGTATTTTACATTCCATTGCCTGCTGAGGGGCGGCCATAAAAAATATTCGCATAAAAACCGCTTTGCCATCCGAAGTTGGCGTAAAACTGTAGTTTTCTTTATTTTTGCGACATCATCAAGCACACAGTTTCTTCCGCAGTCACGCCCCTTTTAGATCGTCAACTATCGATCGTTTACTATACTCTTATCTTTTGATTTAGGTACTTTAATAACTACATATTAAACAGCGTTGATTCGATTATTTCGAAATTTTTTATGCCTTGAAAAGTCAGCCGATCGCCAGCCAGCGGTCCAACGCGTAAAGATCAATGGAGATCACCAATGAAAAAAAAAAACTTTATTATACACAAAGGATTCATTCTGAAAACTGTAACTTAGATTTGTAATCAAACGTACCACTCATCATACTGATGAGCAATTAATAAAGTTGTTTACTCAATAGATTCTCAAAATAAACGAAATGCGATTAAATGCCACTATATATTTCACAACTATTTGTCGACTTTAAAGCCGCTTTTGACAGCACTAAAAGGAGTTGCCTATACGCCGCTATGTCTGAATTTGACATCCCCTCAAAACTCATACGGCTGTGTAAAATGACGTTGAGCAATACCACCAGCTCCGTCAGAATTGGAAAAGACCTCTCCGAGCCGTTCGCCACAAAACGGGGTTTCAGACAGGGCGACTCCCTTTCATGTGACTTCTTTAATCTGATGTTGGAGAAGATAATAAGAGCTGCAGAACTGAACCGCTCAGGAACAATTTACTACAAGAGCGTGCAATTGCTGGCTTATGCCGATGATATCGACATCATCGGTAACAAAAACCGCGAAGTCTGTTCTGCCTTTTCCAAGTTGGATAGGGAAGCAAAGCGCATGGGTCTGGTGGTAAACGAGGACAAGACGAAGTATCTCCTGTCATCAAACAAACAGTCAGCACATTCGCGCCTTGGCTCCCACGTCACTGTTGACAGTTACAATTTCGAGAAAGTAGAGAATTTCGTTTACTTGGGAACCAGCATTAACACCGATAATAATGTCAGCATTGAAATCCAACGTAGAATCACTCTTGCCAACAAGTGCTACTTTGGACTGAGTAGGCAATTCAGGAGTAAAGTCCTCTCTCGACGTACGAAAACCACGCTCTATAAGTCACTCATCATGCCCGTGCTGGTATATGGCGCAGAAGCATGGACAATGACAACATCCGATGAGGCGGCTCTTGGGGTGTTTGAGAGAAAGATTTTGCGGAAGATTTACGGTGCTTTACGAGTTGGCGACGGCGAGTACCGCAGACGATGGAACGATGAGCTGTATGAGATTTACAACGATATGGACATAGTGCAGCGAATTAAAATACAGCGGCTCCGCTGGCTTGGTCATGTCGTTCGAATGGACACCGACGCTCCAGCTCTGAAAGTATTCAACTCGGAACCCGCTGGTGGTAGCAGAGGAAGAGGGAGACCCCCACTGCGATGGAAAGATCAGGTGGAGAAGGACTTGGCTTCACTTGGCGTTTCCAATTGGCGTCAGTTGGCACAGAGGAGAAACGACTGGCGTGCTTTGCTGAACTCGGCCAAAATCGCTTAGGCGGTTACAGCGCCAAAAAAGAAGAAGAAGAAGAATTTGAGGGAGCTGTTTCATCCGAGCTCCGCAAAATCAAAGCATTATTTCTGCTCATTCATTTCGTGATATTCCCAGGAACCTGTGTTCCATTAGATTCCAATGTTTTAGTTTAATTTATGACTACAAAAAAAGGTATCAAACTACAGAAATCAATTACTAAGCGGCGTCAAATTTCAATAGAATCAATTACAAAGCAAAAACATGACAAGATCAAGTGCCTCGCACACTAATGCTGGCCAACACAACTCGCTGCCACTCGAGTGTCCTGTGGTGCGCCACGTAAGTGAACAATTATGTATGTACTTACTACATACATACGTACATACATATACACATATAGCTAAGTATTTATGTACATAAGTAATATATTCAAGTAGAAAAAGTGCCTTGTTTTCTTTTTTTCATAAACAATTAAATTGAGTGTAAAATTCCTCTAAATACACCGTAAAGTAAAAAAGAGTGAATTCAAGAAAAAAAGAATGGCTCAGCAAAAAAATGCATGTCCTTTGAAAGTGTTAAACAAGCCGCCAGTGGCAGTAGCGGCGCTGATAAAAGCAAGCGATCGTCAATGATTAAATCACTTGTTACAGGCTAAAGGGCAATATGAGAAAATTGCGAGGCCGGCGACCAAGGAACAAGTGAGTGAGTGGGAACCTGTTTCGGGCCAATGCAATGGTAAACAAAAGCGAAAATGAACAACAAAAAAATTCAAACAAAGTCTATATGCTGTATGACGCAAATAAAAAAAAATATATAAAAATACTCGAAAAAAAAGAACTAAAATGAAGTGATCCTACTGCGCGCTCCTTACCTTTGCACGTATGTATGTAGATGCCTGAGTGTGAGAAAAAAACGCCAATAACAAGGCAACGCACAAGCATTGAGCTTAATGCTGACAACAAAACACAATGATGATGTTAATAATTATGAATCTCGGCAAATTTAGTTGAGGGCGAACTTGAATTCGACTGCTGCGTCTGCAGAGATCATTATGAGGCACTTGATCGTGAATAAGATCGAGGCTAGCGGCGGTGACGGTGACGGTGACGGCGGCGCTCTGTGCCAGACCACAGGAAAAAAGGAGTAGCCAAAGCAAATAATAAAAGCAACAACAACAACTAAACAAAGCCGAAGGTAAACGTGTTGCGTGGGAAACTTGGCCAGTATGGTGCTGGCGACTTGTGAATCAGCGTGAATCAGCAAAAATAAAAATAAAAATAAATTTGCAAAAAACTGAGCAGCTAAACAAAATTGCCAATGATGCGCAAAGGCGGACGATGTTGTTGATGAAATTTAAAATAGAATGCATGTTTGCATGTATATCGATCAGCATGCTACTTGCCAGTGGATCACTCGAAGCGCACATATGTATATACATACTATGCGAGCGAGAAGAGCCCACAGCAAACCACAGAAGAATTGCACTTTGCCAAGCTATGGCATTTTGCATGAATGCCTCGCGCCCGTTGCAACGAGCTGGCAAAGGCAACCAGACTCACCATAGGTGAAACATGCTTGTATGTTATGTGTGTGTTAGCTGATCTGCCACCGACAACAAGTAGCTTCACACTCCACTTGGCTGTGCCTTGGTTCGTAGTTATCCCAACCTTGCTTAAGTTCTCAGCATCTTAGCTGATCGCCAATTTTTTTTCTTTTTTCTTTTTTTTTTGCGTATGTAACACTGTCTGTCACGATCGTGTGCCGATCATCAGCGATCACCTATTCTTCATGCCGTGAAATGCAAAGAAAAAGAACAAGGGAGTCTGTAAGCTCAGTAGCCGTGGTCGCCAATTGGAAATGACTGTGATTGCAGTACAATATGAATTTGTACAGTAAAACTTCGATGTAATGAACTTTGATATAATACATAACCCTATGTAACTCGAAGCATATCTACCAAAATAAAAGTGAAGCTCACCCACATTAACCGCTATATAACTCAGACTCGAGTTGTTGATGAGGGCGTCTGTTTTGAAGTAATGAGTAAAGATTCGACAATATAAAAGCCCGGGCTTGGTACTCGGCTTAAGCTAGCACTCAGCCTAAGGGAACTCAATAATAAAGTGCCTCTTCAGCAAAAGCACTGGTGGTGCCCTATCCTGTAGCATTTAATAGACACTAACGTATGGACCTTTGCCTCTAGCAATTACCGCTTCACTCCACACTTTATCATATCAGCACCCATTTATTTTAAACACGCAAGTGACCTCAAGTCTCTCCTCGCGGATAAAGATGCATATTAAGTGACGATAGGTTTACCAGTGCATTCAGAGCAGTCTCAGGTTTTGTAGGAAAAGCTGCCGTACATCACACGGCGATCGTTCTTAGAAGTTTAGTAAGCTACTTTCCCACGCTTTTGATTGAGACAAATTCATAGCTAATCGACAGGTTTGAGAATCTATAGGAACCCTGTAGGTGACAGAGCCTATGAATCAAAAAAGACCAATCCTAGAATGCTGTTAAGGCTTTTGAAAGTCTTTTTTGCAACGTAAGACATAATCTGCATTGGTCTGGGCGTCGACATCAGCGGCGTTATGTTTGAAAAGTAGGTGTGCGTTATATCGCGCGTTTACTGTACTTCTAAATACCTCCAAATATCTGTTGGTGTAAGAGATATCAAGCTCGCTGCTGGACCTGTTGCACTACACTGCTTCCTCATTTAGACTCCCCGCCCTTTCACGTAATTATTTTTGTTTTATTTTATTCTACTTAGCTCTGCGGTTTGCAATGTTTTTGTTACCTTAAAATTTGTGGTGGAATTTTTCATACAAATTGCAATCAATTAGAAGCTGCATGATAAAGACGAAGGCAGATGCAAACACAACAAAAATAAAAATAAAAAAGCTGGGAAGCTAAAAATCCTGAAAGTGGCGCAACTTCAAAGGCATTTTCTGCATTTCACGAAAATGTGCGAAATATTTTTAGGCATAGCTGAGCCTTTCCTCAGAATTAAACGAAGTGATTGTACGTTTTTATTGAACTTCCGTTGCGCTATAAGTCTAAGCCGGCTAGTTTTTAGCAGCTTCGCGCACGTTCTTTGTTTTATTTCAGCAAAATAGTCTCGGTTGTCCTTTTTTTTTCATTTAAGCCCTATCCTTGAACGGTACTTAGCCCAGTGGTTATTGTGCGCAATTTGCTTAATACTCTATTCAATTTGACTTTGTCGCTAATATCGTCTTTTACCTGCATCTTCACACCGAATACTAACGAAATTTTCTTCTTTCCTCTTCAGCCCGCTCGCCATACCAAACTGGAGAAGGCCGACATACTGGAAATGACCGTCAAGCATTTGCAATCAGTGCAGCGTCAACAACTCAACATGGCCATCCAAACAGATCCCACCGTGGTTCACAAGTTCAAGACTGGCTTCATTGAGTGCGCCGAGGAGGTCAATCGCTACATCAATCAGCTGGATGGCGTTGATGCAGTGGTGCGACAGCGACTCATCAACCATTTGAACAGTTGCGCCAGCAATCTCGAGCAATTGGGTTCTATGACAAACTTCAATAATGGCTACCGCGGCCAGTTAGCCATGGGCATGTCGGCGCCAGGCGGTTTGTTCGGCGCTGCGTTGCCTGCCAATCCGCTTTCGATGGCCAGCGCCACTGCACCCAGTGCGCTTTTTCCGCCGTTGCCACAGGATTTGAACAACAATAGCAACAATGGTGGCGCCTTTGTCAATAGTCTCAATGCTGCAGCGGCGCCCTTGCCGCCAGTGCAAATGGGCGGCGTACAATTGATACCGTCGCGCTTGCCATCCGGCGAATTCGCGCTAATTATGCCTAGCACGCATGCAAATTTGCTGAATACCAGTAACCACAACAACAGCAACCCACCATTTCCCAGCTTCCCGCATGGCAGAAATCCGGCTGCAGTAATATCGCCCGTTGCTACCGCAACAGCGACCACAGCTACGGCGCCTGTGCTCAGCCTGCCTCCCGCATCTGTGCCCATCAATGACTTCGCCGCCAACTACAAGCGATTGAGCGCTTTCGGCCGACTACCCACAGCGCCGGCGCAGTTGCCATTGAATCAGCCGGTACATAGTGGTGCTCCCAACAGCAGCAACTGCCACCCGAGTAGCAACGGCGCGTTGGTAACTGCAGCCGCTCCGCAAAGCCAACAGCAACAACTGCCGGCACGTACTGCGCCTACTCACCATCAGCTGCATCACAACAGCTCCACGGCCACAAATAGTCCGCCGCTGAGTCCCATCTCGTCCGCCTCCCCTTCCAGCCAAGGCGATGATTCGCTGATGCACACCAGTTCCGACTTCACCGGTTCACGTCCGGCCACACCACCGCTTGATGTCACCGGCGACTTTGACCAGCAGCAGCACAACTTCTCCGGTGTCTTTTCCACGCCATCCAGTGCCGAGTCGTCGCTCACCACCAGCTCAACGTCTACGCTTGCTTCATCGGCCCGCCTGTCATTGCACCTGCAGCAGCAGCAAGTGTCTTCGACCAG